AAAGTAGACACACCAAGGAATTTAAAAAGAGGCATGGTGAGTATTTTGCAGCTTATTTTTTCTCACATGGTTTTCCAAAACTTTTGGCAACAAACGAGATCTGCAAAGTACTCACAATGCTTCTTATCAAATTCCTTGGGGTGTCTACTTTCCAAAAAAGGGTCATTTGGGGGGTTTGGTGCTATCTTGGCATTTCAGGGCCTTCGAAAATGTGATATGTAGCCAGGAAGTGTTATGAGGAAATAAAGCCCTTTAAAAGCCTGGAGGCGCTTATTAGATTTTGGGGTCCTGTACTTGGATATACTGTCAAAGTCTCTCACACGTAGAATCCCCATACTCAGGAGAAGTAGCAGAGTGTATGTTGGGGAGTAATATATATATATTAGTAAATGGGTCATGGGTTAGATTCCCGACCATGGCGCCTCCTGCATGGAGTTTGCATGTTCTCCCTGTGCTTGCGTGGGTTTCCTACGGGTGCTCCGGTTTCCTCCCACACTCCAAAGACATGCTGGTAGGTTAATTGGATTCTGTCTAAATTGGCCCTAATATGTGTATGTATGAACGTAAGTTAGGGACCTTAGATTGTACACCCCTTGAGGGTTAGGGACTGATGTGAATGGTCAATATATATGTGTAAAGCACTGTGTAAATTGACAGCGCTATATAAGTACCTGAAATAAACACACACACACACTCACACTCTCTCTTTACAAGCTACCATTTTAGATTTACAGAGGAGTTCTAGTGCTAGAATTACTACCCTTGATCTGACGTTTGTGGCGATACCTCACATGCATGGTGCAACCACTGTTTACATAATGGCACGGGGTCAACTCTTGTGTGCATGGGGGGCGAGGGTACTTTTTATTTATTTTTAATTATTTGTACACTGTCTGTTTATTATTTTTTTTTTAATCACTTTTAATGCTATCACAGGGAATTCAAATATCCCCTATAACTTCAGTGGGCATTGTCGTCATATATTCTTTTTTGAGAAATCTGGGGTCTATCAGACTCTAGATATCTCCTCTGCCCTTACATTATCTAATCAAACCAAGATTGGTGTGATCAGATGCTTTTCCAATTTACAAATGTCGCTGTTCATATCCTGTGAAACTGAAGTGATGAAATGCTTGTAGCTTCTTATTTCTTAGACTGTAGAGATGATTGGCACCATTTTGGTCTCTAATCAGCTCTATGGTCAGCTGGCAGAAACACCGGCTGCATTCTCAGGTTCCCCCGATGGCACGGGACTGCCCGAGAAGGCCGTGGGGGAGGGGGGCATCATCTCCCGCTGCTTATAAAAGCAATCCTGATGCTAATTAGCCACTAGGATTGCTTTTACAAAAAAGCCGGCTTAAAAAAACAATACCAGGATGATGCCTGCAGCTGCAGGCATCATCCTGGTATAACCACTCAAAGTCCAGTGATGTACCAGTACGTCGTTGGTCTTTGGATGTATATGCTATGTTTTTTTTTTTTTTTTTTTATGCTCACCATTAGAATACCTCCCTGCATCCACCCACTTCTAATGGTGGGCACACATGAAATGTGCCCAAAAATATTATAAAATATATATGTTGAAGCATATGGACCATCCACGCACTGGCTACCCCAGACCCCCATGCTTTGGCATATATGCTCTTTTTTAACTGCGGATGAAACATCTCATCCAACAGCGCTGCCCACACCTACTTATGTATATTCTGAGAGCAAGTTCCTGTTGCTGTCACAATAAACAGCTCGGTACTGCAGCTGAAAGCATTCCTGCAAAGAAAACCGCAAGCTTAACAATAAAACAGTAAAAGTGTAACAGCAGAACAGTAACGGCAACAACAAAAAAACTATAACTATTTTTGGTTTTTAAAAATTTTAATTTGTTTTGGAATTTTTACTTTTTTATTTATTTATTTTTTTAAACTTTAACTTTTTAAAACAGATTGTAGGGTCTCTCCAAATGCAATAGCCAGTTTCCTGACTACCTAACATCTTTCGAGACCCTGTGCAAATATGTGCCATGCTGTACCCTATACTAATACTCCACTAGTGTGTGGTAGCGACGGAAGCAGTCCTTGAGGCAGAGACCAGGTTGGCAGGACAGGAGGGACAAAAAAAGCAACTGCCACACTGAATTCCATGTCTGCTACAGAGACAACATCTTTTTTTGGGGTGTCCTTTGAGTTGGGGTACCAGGAATGGCATCGGGAAAATGCCTCTCATGCAGCCGGCTAACTGCATCTGTGTTGGGGGTTTGGGTCACAGAAACTTCTGGATACAAAAGTCTGTGATCTCTTCCTGGAATTTTAGGAAGGATCCACTTCGTCCAGTTGCTTCGTAAAGCACAAAAGCATTATATAGAGCCAATTGAAATAAACAGACACTTTTTTGTACCAACGTCTGGAATTGGCAGCTTGTGCATCTCGAATTGGCAGCTTGCGCATCTCTACCATCAGTGCTTAAAGATATATCTGGGTTTTACAGCAGTATATGCTCAAGCAAGAATGGGACAACATTTCTCTCCCAAAATTCCAGCAACTGGTCTCCTCCGTTTCCGGAGTGTTGTTAAAAAAAAAAAAAAAAAAGTAAACATGGCCCTGTTCCAACTTCTTAGGAATTAGCGTTGTACCAGCTTTTTGTTGCCCTGCCCTAAGTTTTTTGAGATGTGTTGCTGCCATTAATATCAAAATTACCCTATTTCTTTTTCTTAACATGCTACATTTTCTCAGTTTAACCTCCCTAGCGGTCTGATTATGTCAGTATTCCTGTGCTCAAAGCGGTACATTTTTTTTGCATGGAAATATGTTCTTGTTTTATTGTAGGCCTGTAATTCTTAGGAATAATTCACTGAAATCCGTCCGAACAAGAGTCCAGTAAACATCCTGGGTATGATAAAATTTGAAACACAAAATCATAAATTATAATATAATAATCATAAAAAATAATACATTTATTTCAGTAATGTAATCAAACCAAAAACACAAATTTGAAATAGAGCACCAATTTCGTACATCACTGAGCAAAGTCACAAAATCGTTTTCAGTGTCTGACGAATTTCCCCCACGAACCATTATCACTCAATTCTGCAAGTGATTCTGATTTTCTGTCGCTGTTTTCTAGCTGGTCTAAAATCGCTTTTGACCTAAAGGGATGCTTTTTGGATGCCATGGACGTTTCTCAGTTTCCAGGCAGAAAGAACAGAACAAATGCAGGCAGGGCACAGGACAAAGCAGTAGGGACAAAATGTATGTGAAATGGTTTGATACAGTAATGTTGTACTATTAGATTTTAGTGTATTGAGTGAATGTCACTTTTAAACGTTTTGAATTTCCCACCGGTTCCATCCCCCGTATGTCCCGACGCTTGCAGGGAACGGAACCCGGCCGGAGGAGATGGCCGGGGACACTGCAGGGGGGACATCGTGGGAGCGAAGGACAAGGTAAGTGCTAGAGGGAATCCCTGAACAATGCTGCAGGGTAATCCTGAGTGTAGCTCAGGGTTACCACTTTTGATACTTAAAGTTTACCCCGAGCTACACTTGGGAATACCGCTAGGGAGGTTAAACATTTGATATGTTTTGTATTGTGAATAAAATATGGGTTTATAATATTTGCAAATCATTGCATTTTTTTTTATGTAGATTTTGACACAGCATCCCAACTTTTATGCAATTGGAGTTGTAATTTCTAGTGGTGCATCGAAATGACAATTCTGCTGCTGAAACGGAAAACGAAAATTCAAAATGCACTTGGCCAAAAACCGAAACTGAAATGCACAGTTTTTAAAAATCAATATATATTTTTTGGAAAAAATACACTGATTAAAAAAAACAAAATATACCCCAATTTTTTTGTAAAATATGAAAGAGGATGTTATGTCGAGTAAATAGATACCCGACATGTCACGCTTTAAAATTGCGCACGCTCGTGGAATGGCATGAAACTGTGGTACTAAAAAAAAAAAAATCTCCATGGGTGATGCTTTAAAAAATTCTACAGGTTAGCAGTGTAACGTTACAGAGGAGGTCTAGTGCTAGATTTAATGCTCTTGCTCTGATGTTCGTGGCAATACCTCACATGTGTGGTTTGAACACCGTTTACATATGTGGGCATGGCCCATATATGCGTTCACCACTACGTGCAAGCACGGGGGGGACAGGGGCACTTTAAACTTTTTTTTTTTTTAAATAATTTTTTTTTTTTGCACTGTCCCTTTTAAAAAAATTTTAATCACTTTTATTCTTATCACAAGGAATGTATGCTTCCCATGTGATCTAAATAATTAGTGACAGCTCCTCTTTATGGAGAGATATGTGGTCAATAAGACCCCACATCTTTCCTCTGCTATGTGAAAACATTGGACCAAAAAAAAGCATTGATTTAGTGCTTTAAAAAAAAAAAAAATGTCCGGAACGGGAAGTGAACGGGAATTCTTTTTGGATACTAGGGATTGTTAGTACTATTACATTTTCCTGGGATGGCTTTGTATATCTGGACTTCTATATCACTGCTGTAACAATAATTTTAGTGCTGCCTATTTTGTATTTCATGTATGTATACATTTTATATTAGATACTTAATAAAAGTTTAGTTTTGAGCTAATATATATTTGGAATTTGTATAAAAATGAAGACCATAAATGCATTGTACAGTGGTTCCCTGTTGTTACTTTTCCTGTTTTGTCACTAGATGTCAGTGCTGAATTCCTGATGAGCTTTTTTCCTCTAAATAACAATTGTTAGTCCAGGATTGACAGCTTTTTGAGTTGCATTTGCCTTCTGACTCCTTCCTTTGAAGTCCTCAGCTGGTTTAGAGCCCATTTATACCAGATGCAGTGAGATGTTTAATGTATTCCCATTGCATAGACTATCCAAAATCCATGTTAGAGAAAAATTCAGTTGTCTGTCCTTTTCCATGCCAAAATGCATAACAGACCTAAGTTAAACGCATGTGAATGCACTTGCAGAAACAAATGAAAAAACATACTTTCTTCTTTTTTTTGGTGAATGGGCCACCTTCAAGATGTCCATTAAATGAGGCCCCAAATGTTCTGCTTTTAATAAAGGCTTTACTTATGCTTATGCCTTAAGAGTTCCCTTCCCTGGAACTAAGGGGCCAAGCTCAACCCCTGAAAAACAGTCCCACACCATAATCCCTCTCCACCAAACTTTACACTTGGCACAATGCAGTCACGCAAGTACCGTTCTCCTGGCAACCTCCAAACCCAGATACATCCATCAGATTTCCAGAGAGAAGAGCGATTCGTAACTCCAGAGAACATTTCTCCACTGCTCTAGAGTTCAGTGGCGGCGTGCTTTACACCACTGCATCTGACGCTTTGTATTTCATGTGGTGATATAAGGCTTGGATACAGTTGCTCGGCCAAGGAAACCCATTCCATGAAGCTCTCTATGCACTGTTGTGCTAATCTGAAGACCACACGAAGTTTGGAGGTCTTTAGCTATTGACTCTGCATGCGCTGATCCTGCTCTGTCAATTAACGTGGCCTACTACTTCGTAGCTGAGTTGCTGCTGTTCCCAGTTGCTTCCACTTTGTTATAATACCACTAACAGTTGACCGTAGAATATTTAAAAGCAAGGACATGTCACGGATGGGCTTATTGCACAGGTGGCAACCTATCACGGTGTCATGCTTGAATTCACGGAGTTCCTTAGAGCGACCCATTCTTTCACAAATGTTTGTAGAAGCAGTCTGCATGCCTAGGTGCTTGATTTTATACACCTGTGGCCATGGAGGAGATTGGAACACCTGAATCCAATGATTTGTCGGTGTCTCTCAATACTTTTGGCAATATAGTGTATGTAAATTGGCATTTGTGCTGGAAGGATGCATCATAGCGCTCTCCCAACATGGAGCCTGAGTTGTCACTGATAGCTTCTCATCTTGTATGAACGATAGGAAACTGGAAGGATTGGCTTCTGATCACATGATTGTAGTAAGTTATAACCTGTGATTGGCTATCACAGTGATTACTCTGTAATCCAAGTATTTTGGTTCTCCTTTTGAATGGAGAAAAATATACATTGTACACTTTGCTCTTAGCCAGCGAAGAAGAATGTAAACACAAAAAAAAAGGCTGTAGAAAAGAAATGTATATAAACAAAAAATTAAAGTCAAAATAGCTAGATCAGGGCTTGATCTAGGAATGTGTCAGGGTCAAAGGTCAGGTCAGTGTGTTTAGATAGGAAAAAATAATGTATATACATGTGGCATCGCCACAAAATTCAATTTGTGTAGGAGTACGAGACATTATTATAAGGGATTTTTGGTGGGGATTATGGCAATGGCAAGATACTGTGTATATACAGCTGATAAAGAAAGTCAAGAAATAACCATTAGCATTTACAACCAAATTAAGGGCAATTTTTCTCTGAAAAAAAAGTATTTTTTTTCCTGAATTAATATTTACAATATGTGCAGGTTTATGAGCAGAATTGCAAAACTGTGTCCATGGATTAGAACTTTGTATCTTTAGGTATTAAGGGGTTGAGTGTGGCCCTCAGTGCACATACAGTAATGTGATTTATTCCATTCAGTTTGATCCAGTGTTTTACCTTGTTGGAAATATCTGTGTTGGTCTAAATCTACTAGGTGTCACCTGCATTAACAGACCACACAAACACATTAAAATAGCCTTTCCTGTGAGACAAAAAAACCTAGGCGTAAAATGAAGTACCCTATAGCAGTCTAAATCTGCTTTACAGAAGTCCGATATGTACATGATAAAAATTTGATTAGCTAGTACAGTAGTGCACTTTTTGTGTTTTGTATGCTTTTACTGAATTATAAAGGATCTACATGAAAACCAATCCTTCTCCACATGATATGTCTGTGCCGTTCTGAATCAGGAACAAAAACATTTGTAAGGCCTTGTTCACAGCATGTGCAGTGACCTGCGATAAAGCAGATCTCCATCTCTAGTGAAGTTTAAATAGTTTGGCTGGTCTGGTTCAAATGACCTATTACTTTCATTAACCTCTTGCCGACCGTGCATAGCCGAATGACGGCTTCACCGCAGCCGGCCAGTTCTGGGTGGACGTCATATGACGTCCTCCCAGAACGCACTCTCCTGCGCGCCCCAGGGGGCGCGCACCCGTTGATCTCCGTGATCGCTGTGTCCTACGGACACAGCTGATCACGTGATGTGGTAAAAGGCCAATCACAGCTGCCTTTTACCACGTGATCAGTGGTGTCCAATGACACGCTGATCACAGGGAAATGCAAGTGCCGGTTGATCAGTGCCCTGATGATCGGTGCCCAGCAGTGACACCCGCAAGTTCCGCCCAGCAGTGCGCCCACTAGCTCCGCCCACCCGTGCCCAGCAGTGCCCCCACCTGTGCCCAGCAGGGCACCCACCTGTGCCACTCTGCAGTGCCACCTACCTATGCCCATAAGTGCCACCTACATGTGCCCAGCAGTGCCACCCACCTGTGCCCACCAGTGCCACCTACATGTGCCCAGCAGTGCCACCCACCTGTGCCCACCAGTGCCACCCACCTGTGCCCACCCACCAGTGCTGCCCACCAGTGCCACCCACCAGTGCAGCCCAGCAGTGCTGCCAGTCAGTGCCACCAGTCAGTGCCCAGCAGTGATGCCAGTCAGTGCCGTCTATCAGTACCCATAATCAGTGTCACCTATCAGTGCCGCCTATCAGTGCCGCCTATCCGTGACCCCTAATTAGTGCTGTCTATCAGTGCCGCCTATCCGTGCCACCTCATTAGTACTGCCTATCAGTGCCCTTTAGTGCTGCCTATCAGTGCCCATCAGTGCCGCCTATCAGTGCCCATCAGTGCTGCCTCATCAACGCACATCAGTGATGGAGAAAAAAATACCTGTTTGAAAAATTTTATAAAAGAAACAAATAAACTTTTTTTTTTTCAAATTTTTTGCACGTTTTTTATTTATAGCGCAAAAAGTAAAGTGCCCAGTGGTGATTAAATACCACCAAAAGAAAGCTCTATTTGTGAGAAAAAAATGATCAAAATTTCATATGGGTACAATGTTGCATGACCGCGCAATTGTCAATCAAAGTGCGGCAGCGCTGAAAGCTGAAAATTGGCCTGGTAAGGAAGGGGGTATAAGTGCCGGTAGGCAAGTGGTTAAGACATGCAGCAGCTGGGAGTACTGTATAAACGTATGTAGCCTCAACTACCTACAGTATACAGTGCTGTGTTCCAGCAGTGGAATAGGAACTTCCCGTCCAACTCTCGGAACAAAATCAGGTCAGGCTACGCTGCTATCAGGACGTCATCCATCCACCGCTCTGCCTCAGCCAATCAGAGGAAGCTTCCAATTCATTCATACAAAGCTTCCCATGACTGGCTGAGCAGTGTCTGAACACAGCGCTGTATACTGTACGTCGCTGATACTACACAGAGGAGTATACTGTATACAACAGTTCCAGTTGCTGCATCTCTCAGTGAACGTAATAGTTTGTTTCCACCAGCTTGGTCCAAGAAACTATTAAAAGTCACTAAATGCTGAAGATCAGCTTTGATATGCACTGATCAACACAGGCTCAATGTCAGGGTATGCAGAAACTTTTATGTGTCTTGTTTACACTACAATGCTGTAGCTCGTGAAGGTTTGCTTAAAGATACAGACATGCTGCACCTCAACTCATGCCACCACATCTCACTGCACTACATCTCCTCTGCAGTGCATAGAGATGATTTAAAGTGGTTGTAAATGCTCAAGGTTTTTTACCTTTATGCATTCTATGCGTGAATTCAAAAAAAGACCTGTGCATAGCAGCCCCTCCAAAACCTACATGAGCCCCATCGTGATTAGTGACAGATTACGGTAGTGAGTTCCATAGCATGGGAGGAGGTGACAAGGGAGCTAGAGAGCAGGAGGATCTTGGGAGGAACATAGAGAATGATTTGGTTGATATTTTGAGACCAGGTTAGTGATGTAGCTGGGGGCCAAGTTGTGGATGACTTTGTAAGTTATTGTTAATATTTCGAATTTAATTTGGTGAGTGGCAGCCAATGGAGGAATTGGCAGAGAGGGGTAGCAGACACTGAGCGGTTGGTAAGGTGGATGACTCTGGTGGCAGCATTCATGATGGACTGAAGGGGAAATGGCCTATGTAAAGGTAAGCCAGCGAGGAGGGAGTTGCAGTAGTCTAGGTGGGAGATGACAAGGGAGTGAGTTAGGAGCTCTGTGGTGTCATTAGTTAAGAAGGGAATTGTTTTTTTTAATTTTAACTACTTGCTGCCCATCTGCCAACAATGTGAGCTGCGGCTCTGGGCAAAGTGACATTATATTACATTGCTTTTTATTCAGAGATGTGCGTGAGCTATTTGGGGGCCTGTATGTAGCTAGGCTGATAAAATGTCTCTCACACGTGGTATCCCCGTAGTTGGGAGAGCACAATGTGTTTTGGGGTGTTATTCCACATATACCCATGGCATGTGAGAGCAATATATCATTTAACTGACAACTTTGTGTGTAAAAAAGAAAAAAAAACCTGTCATTTTCCACAAATTTGTGACAAAAAAATGTTCCATGGACTCAACATGCCTCTTTGTACTGTCCTTGCATTTTAGCACTTCAAGAAATGTGACAAAGTAAAAGCTACATAAACGCTATAGCTTTCACACAAACCAATTATATTATGTATTGGATTTTTTTTTTTTTACTAAAGACATGTAGCAGAAAATAATTTTGGTCTAAATTTGGACATTTTGGACTAACTTTGAGTTTTCTATATTTTTTTTTATAACTAAATGTAAAAAAAATATTTTTTTAAAAAAATTTTTTTTGGTCTTTTTTCCTTTATATCACAAAAAATAATAAAAACCCATTGGTGATCAAATACCACCAAAAGAAAGCTTTATCTGTGTGGGGGAAAAAAAGGACTTAAATGTCATTTGGGTACAGCATTGCATGACCACGCAATTACCAGTTGAAATATCGCAGTGCTGAATAGCAAAAAAAAAAGGGCTTGGTCACACACACACACAACACACACACACACACACACACACACACACACACGAACACACACACACACACACACACACACAAACACACACAACACACACACAAAACACACACACACACACACACAAACAAACACACACACACGAACACACACACACACAACACACACACACACACACACACTACAACAACAAACAACACACAACACAACACCACACGAACACACACACGAACACACACACACACACACACAACACCACACACACAACACACACACACACACACACACACACACACACAACACACACACAACACACACACACAACACAACACACACACACACACACACACACACGAACACACACACACACAACACACAACACACACACACAACACACACACACACACAAAACACACACACACACACAACACACACACACAACAACAACACACACACACACACAACACACACACACACACACACACACACACACACACAACACACACACACACACGAACACACACACACGAACACACACACACACACACACACACACACACACACGAACACACACACACACACGAACACACACACACACAAAACACACACACACAAAACACACACACCGAACACACACAACACAAACACACACACACGAACACACACACACGAACACACACACACACACACACACACACAAACACACCACATGGTT